TATTATGGGTAAGGTCCCATAACCGCCAAAGAGTTATAAAAAATGAGAGAAGTAAGGAAGGGAGGAAGGACAATAAATAATATCTAGGAAAAAAGAAAGAAAAGTTAAATGCAAACAGGAAAGGTAAAAAGAGAGAAATTAAAGACAAAAAAGAAAATGTAAGTAAAAGGAAAGATAGCTAAAAATGAAAAAAAAAAAAAGGAAGAGAGGAGACGGAAGGAAGAAAAGGAAAAAGAAGAAAACGGACGGAAGATCGAATGAAAAGGTACTTAAAAGGAAAGAAAATATAAAGAAAGAAAGAACAAAAGAATGAAAAGACAAGTAAAAGGAAGGAATAATAGCTAATTAAAAAAAAAAAAAAAGCAGGAATATCTTTCAAAGTCTGCTGTAACCTAGAAAGGGTTATTGAAGGAGGAATCACCAAAACGGAGTTTGGAAATGAAATGGTAATCATTGCAACATCAACAAAATAAATTACTCGCCAGCGCCGTGAAGTAGGTAAACCACTGCTAGTGATGGACTACTAAGACACCATATTACTCTCACATACAAAAATCTGAACGTATCCGAGGATTGGGACCCCCCCAGTAGTGTTTTAAATTATTTAACAATCTAGGAGTTGCCCTACTTGTGTTTAAATAAAAAAGCAAATCTGAGAGTTTATTTTGCCTTTTCTTAATAATTAAGAGAAGATGTATTAAAAGGTTCAATAGGCCAAATCTGGAATGAATCGAAATAACCAGGACATTAAGTTAACATTCTCATTTTTTTTTTTTTTAATCATCTTCAGATTGAAGATACGTTAATATTCATTTTTCAATGAAAATTCAGATTTTGATTTACCCGTAAAAATGACAGGTCTAGTTATGCATAGATAATCTCTCATTGTTACGAGTAGTATACTAGTTATAATATTTAAGAAATGTTTTTATTTGATTTTTTTTTAAGTTCTTTTTTCAAAACGTTAAAGTAATAACGTAGCGTTTGTTTTTCAGGACAATTGTTTTGATGTCTTTCCGACTTTAGTACTTCGCCTTCACGGATTTAAGGGCAGTACTAGATTGGCAGCTAGGTATCATTATTTTACTGTTGAAATTTCTCGTTGTTCTATTCTAATATTTTCGACTTTCTCGAATAGCTTCCGGCTTTCCTGTCAACTAAGATCTTCAAAAATTTAAATGCAATGTCAGTCGTCTATTTAAAGTCATTTAAACTCTGTTCTTTTATTGTTCTTCTATTTGACAAGTTTTTATTTTGCTTTATTGAAATGAGTAATATCAAACAAACAAAAACTAGATTCTTACTGGAGATAGAGCGTTAATAAATGTAGAGATTGTCGACATAGAAATCAGTTTCTATATATCAGGAAAATTTCTTTTTTAGACCCCTTTTACTTCTATTTTAAATTAATATTTCATTCTGCATATAATGCCAAATTAATGTCATAATGTTAATATTCGGGTTTAATTTTATAAAACGTCTCCACTTTAGTGACAAAATTTTCTCCAACCTGACCTTGAATATATGTCTCGTGGCTTGAAATGACTAAAACAGTGATTTTTTTTAATGACCCTTATCTGTATGAACATTGTATTTCAGTCCACTCCAAAATAAGACAGACGACCAAGATATATATATATGAGATAATTTTGGATATTATTGTTTATTATATATATATATATATATATATATATATATATATATATATATAATCAATAAACAAACAAAAAATATAAATCAGTGTATATATATATATATATATATATATATATATATAATATATATATAATGATTTTCTAAGCAGTAGTTTTCAAAAATGGTACAAGGCCGAAATTCTATGTAACCAATGAAGATGAATCTTCAAAGTCCAACCATTACACCATGGCGAGGTGCCCCCGTATTTATGGGATAAAGTGCTCAATATCAGAGATAGAGCGTGTTTAAAAATAAAAGTCATTATTTTGATTGTCAACAACTTGTATAAAGTGACAAGTTGTTTCATGCTAGATTAAATAATCGTCAGGCATATATATATGTATAATTAATATTTAAAAATGATTTTATTCTCACATGAATCTTATCTATCTATCTATCTATATGTTTTTATCATCTATCTATCTATCTATATATGTTTGATTTCTATTTTACATGATAGAGTATATATATATATATATATATATATATATATATATATATATATATATATATATATATATATAATCATGATAATTGATCATTTTTGTTATTAAAGGCGACATTTTCTGTTTCATGCTATTATATGCAATCGTTAGGCTTGAATATAAAAATGAAACAGACTTTCGCCTTGTTCGGTGGCTTTTATTTTCAGATCTATATTTACACACGCTCTATCTCTGATATTGAGCACTTTATTCCATAAATATATACACCTTAAGACTATATTTCTTTATATATATATATATATATATATATATATATATATATATAGATAATATAAGATTTGGGAATTATGGAAATTTGGTTGACAACCAACCCGTAGCTTCTTCTTCTACTATGTACCGTTTCCCATCAAGCCTTTTGCGATCATGACTCTTCACAATTTCCTTTATCCTTTTAGTCTTTTTTTTATCACTTTTAAACTCTGTTCTGCCGTCCATTTGCAGAAACTCTCTAGACAGGTTATGCGTTGTATTCATATTCCTCTCTCGACTTCAGTATGTCATGTGTGTGTCAGATTTTCCAAGCCCACTTTCCTCATTACGTTACCTAGAGATTTCAACCATTTTTTCTGATGTTAATTATAAGTGTTTTCTTTCTGTTTTTGTTAAAATCTTTCATAGCATTCACAGCATCCTTCTGCCGAATTACATTTTCTCTTGCTTCAAGTCTCTTCTTCACCTGTGAGGAGACACTCTAGGATTTACTGGCATACAAAAGGACGGATATTACGTAACAGTTCAGTATTCTTTTCTTTGTTTCTAACGAAATAATTTGCTTAGCTTTTTGAAGGCATCTTTTAAATTGTTGTTTGACTTTGGGATCTCCAATTTGTATTTTTACATGTTGTGCTGTTTCTTTTACTGGCAACTATTGATTCTGTCTTCTTACAATTGATGTTTAGTCCATTCTTCTCCCTTTCCTTTACTACATTCTGTAAGAGTTCTTGTAGTTTTCTTTCTATGTTTGCTATCAATACTGTCATCTGAATGTCTTATGGTTTCTTAGAACATTTCCCATGCATTATAATACAAAAATAATTTACAATGAATTCATCTGAAATGAATTCCTATAGGAAAATCATTTGCAATGCATTGCTATGACGAAATCATCTGAAATGAATTCCTATAATGAATCATCTGAAATGAATTCCTATAGTGAATCATCTGTAATGAATTCCTATAGTGAATCATCTGAAATGAATTCCTATAGGAAAATCATTTGCAAAGCATTCCCATAGTAAAATCATTTGCAATATATTCCTACAGTAAAATCCTTTGCAATGTATCCTAGTTTAAAATCATCTGAATATATATATATATATATATATATATATATATATATATATATATATATATTAATGGCCATATATATATAATATATATATATATATATATATATATATAATATATATATATATATATTAATCTTATATATATATATATATATATATATATATATTGAATATAATAGAATTGAGTTATCAGTCACTGTATGTGTTTCAAAAACGAATAAAATATACGAAATAAAATGCATTGATCGTTTTTGCTCATAAATAAAAAAAGTGGTAAAAGACAAAAAGACTGATATATAATTCAGTCAATTTGATTTATAGCTAGATATAAACCGGATATTTAGCCACACTGATAAGCTTATAGGAAACAGTCTGTGGATGGTATTTATATATATATATATATATATATATTGGATTTGCAATAATTTTTATAGAAGAAAATAACACAAAATACAGTACTACAGTATCAGTTACATTTTCATAGTAAAATTACCAGCAATACATATTTGTTCAAACTTAATAACTAAAACATATGTTTGCCCTGAAAATAGAAAATTATGTACAGTATTTGTAGTTGAAGTCATAAAGTTGCGTACAAAATATTTAGATGTCGGCTTTAACTTACCCATAGAGGTTGATATGCCGCTAAACGAAAACAACTACGTTTATGATAGAATAATACAAATAATTTCTATCTACTACTCCCACCTAATATAAGTGGGAATTAGTAGAGTCAGAAAAGTCGATGTCGGACGGACGACAGTTATCGAATACGAAACCACAGCATGCGACCACACTCTGCGAACCTAACGTTTTATATCAAGTTCCTAACGTTTTGTACGTCGAACCTATTTTAGGACCAAATACAAGCCTCCACTGCAAAATAACTCCACAACAAAAATGTAGAAGAACGAAATGAAGAAGAAGATCTTTTTGAAAAAGGGAGGTTGAAGAAGAATTATATATAAAAGAAAAAAAGAAGAAAAGGTTTAAAGGAGGAGGATGAAAGACGAAGAAGAATGAGAAAAAAAAGAAAAAAAACAAAGAAAGGAATTCAAGATCCAATCGGAAGAAAAAGAAAAAGGATGGGAATTATGAAGAAGCTTAAAAAAAAGGAGAATAGGAAGAAGTTTTTTAGAATGTTAAGGTAAAAGTGTCATTACTGGAGGAAGAATAAGAAGAGGAATGTAAGGTGGAACTGTTTTTGACGCTGCAACAAAGACTAAGAAAAGAACATGTATTTTCAAAGAACTGGAACAAGGCTAAAGAAAAGGAAGAAGAAGGTAGATTAAAGAAAAAACAAGTAAACCGAAACTATCCTTGTTTAAGTGTGAAAATAATTTAAAATGTAGGGTTGAAATTGAACGATAGAAAGAATGAAAGTGTGAAGACGTTAAGACAAAAATATCCTGAAAAAAATATAAATTTTGGATGAAACGGTAAAGAAAAAATTAGAAAAAAAAATTCACAGAAAAACGAAAAAAAATGAGATTGAAAGAACATGGCTTTTTTAAATAAAAAAAAGAAATGGAAGAAGGGAAATTAATGAAGAAAAATGTAAGCGAAGAAAAAAGGCCGAAATAAATGGAGGAGGGGTAGAATAGACGGTGAAAAAATTAAAGAAGAAGAAGAAGAAGAAAGAGGAAAAAGGAGGATGAAACAAAAAGAAATAGAGAGAGAAGAAAAATGCTGAAAAGAACAAGAAAAATTTAAAAGATATATCCATCCTCTAAAAATGAAGAATGAGATGAAGAAAAGGAAATATCTCATTAAAAATGAAGACAACTAGAATAAATAAGTGAAAGAGAATTCTTAATCTGCAAATGAAGGACAAAAAAGCAGAAAAAGGATGAAAAAAGTCCTTCACCAGGAAAAGAAGAGAAAAGTAGAAAAGAAGGAAAAGAAAAAAATGAAGAAGAAAAGAAGGAAAAACTGCAAATAAAAAAAGTTCTGAATAGAGCACATTTTTATCAAGATGTTATAGCAAAAAAAAAAAAAAAAAAATTTTTATGCAGACTCCGAGGCGTCAAGAATGATCCTTGGGTCTTTATGTAAAAAAGTTCTTCATAATTCGAATATGAGTGCAATGAAAACCTGCCCTTTATCAGGAATCATACTCTTTGAAAGAAGTGGACGCAAACGAATTAAAGTCCTTCGACCTCGAGGAAAACTCTGAAGAAAAAACGGAAACTAGTCTCTGTTTGAAGGGATCTTTGGAAAATAATGTCGAAATTTTAGACATAATCACAAAAAAAAAACAGTCCAAAAGCATAAAACCTACCATATTTGGGGTTAAAATTTCTCTATCTCCCCAAAATTATAACCTCGGAACAGTCGGAACTGAGTAAGTAGCCGCGCTATATCTGGTAATTAGAAGCCCTCTTCTTTGTCACCGAGGCCCGTGGTACAGTAACGTTTGCGTTGTATCGAAACGGTCCGGGTTCAATTCTCGGTAGTGGATGCGCACTGCTGTTGAGTCCCAGATAGGACGAAACTGCCGTCCAGTGCCTTCTACATTCTGTTGAGGATTATTCTAGGCTCGACGAAAGGAATCTCCATTAGAATCCTAAAGGAAAAAAATAGAGACTTGTATATATGTAATTAATGTTGAGAAACTTATCACTTAACTGAAGAAAGCATTAGTACAATGCGCTCACGAAACTTCGAAGGCCACATTAATTCTATTAACTGTCTATCTTTACCTTTTGATATTGAGCACTTTATGACAAAACCTGCTTGACTAAAATGGTTTCCACCAGTAAACTACGAAAAAAAGAACCAGTGATTTTGGCACCAAAACTATCTTACAACTTTTTATATATATATATATATATATATATATATATATATATATATATATATATATATATAATAAAAAAAAAAAACAAATTTATTCCATGGTAGAGTGATAATATTATTCCATTGGAATCGTAAATACGATCCAAATCATCAGACCTACAAATTCAAAAAATTGCATATGTATGTATAGAGGGGTTAATATTAATATCTATCTATCTATCTATCTATCTATCTATATATATATATATATATATATATATATATATATATATATTATAAAGATAGTTTTATATATATATATATAAATATAGTATAATATATATATAATATAAATAAGCAAGAAATCGGAAAGCAAAAGGGAGACCCATAGGTGGAAAATGAGAGAACAAAAAATATTAGAGTAGAAATTACGGTTGCATCTAGCTAGTTCGACACTAAAACGGTGAGACCTAAATGCCACTCTGGTAAAACGTTTAAATTCATGAAGTTGGGGGACCAGGAAAAAGGTTGTTCGTTCAGTTTTCATGAAAATATTTGTAGAAAAAACAGAGGGAGGACACGTCACGTCGACAAGAAACTGACTGAGGTTGAGATGCCTGGTCCTGATCGATTGCATTGCAGACCCTACTCTGGATTTTGTTAAGGACCTCGAGATGTACAGCAGGAGCACCAGACCAGATATGGCAACAGCATCCAATGCAAGGACGAATGGTAGATTTGTAAATGTGCAAGATGGATTCTGACGAGAACATTTTTGTAAGCATGACGCAATGACCCAACTTTCCTTGCAGTAGATACAGCTATTGATTCAGGACAGATTGGACCCTATAGTTTTGGCTGGCAGTCAGTATAGGAGAAGGAAAACACTGAATTCAAAGCAACCGTGAAAAATCCAATATAAACTTGTAGGTCCCGTCTCTTTAGGCAAGGGCTAGAAGAAGGCAACTTCAATAACAAATCCACCCCACATGTTGTCTCAAAGATAGGAACTGTCCCCCACTACTTCGAGCCACCATAGAAAATAAAGGAGTACCCGGTTTTAGTACAATGGTTCAAAGAAGTAAAAAGCTATGACAGAGAATGGCATCGTGGGTCTCTCTGCTTTCGGACCATTCTCATATGGGTGTATGGTAATTTTCTTCTCGAGTCTACGATACTGGATAGCAGGGAAAGATTTCAAAAGACTTTTGTTGTTATTGTTGTGTTTTATGGACCATCAACCTCAATAGGTTATTTAATGCCGACAACATTTTTTCCTGGTAATACTTTGTTTTGTCACAAAAACTATTTCCGGTAATATTTTTTCCTCAAAAATACATAGCTGGTAATATTATTTTAAAACATGTATTGCTGGTAATATTTTTTTCAAAAATATATTGCTGGTAACAGTTTTTTCTTTACAAAAATTTATTTCTGGTAACAATTTTTAACAAAGTATTTCTGGTATTAAAACCTATTTTTACACTTTTGTATTACTCAGTTTCGGGGTTAACTATTTGTACATATCTGGGACCCTAACAGGTACTACCACCACGGGTCAGGGTGGACCTGGGAACACCAGCAATTAAGAGGTGGTTCCACGCTCCTCAAAACCTCCTGATCAGAGCCTTTGCTGTTGGACGTAGTTTATCGTCTTACCCTGGACGCGGACGTAGTTTAGCGTCCTACCCAGAACGCGGACGTAGTTTAGCGTCTTACCCTGGACGCGGACGTAGTTTAGCGTCTTACCCTGGACGCGGATGTAGTTTATCGTCCTACCCAGAACGCGGATGTAGTTTATCGTCTTACCCAGGACGCAGATGCAGTTTATCGTCTTACCCTGGACGCGGACGTAGTTTATCGTCTTACCAAGGACGCGGATGTAGTTTAGCGTCATATCCAAGACGTATCAAATGACTTATGACTAATTTTTACTTATTAAAATTTAAAGTACGCTTCAGAGTTTTAGTTATTCTACAAGTGCATCCTGAAGTAACTAAGGAAGTTGAGAAATATTGCACAAACGCATAAGCATATAATTAAACACATGTTTAAAAATGCCTAGATAAAGCTTGTTCAAATCTAGGGTCAACCGTTATCTTCCACTCTTATTTACATAAACTACTCGAGTGATCCCCGTGCCTTATACAAGGTGAAACTACTTTTAAAAAATTTAGTTAGAATTAAAATATATAAAACAGGAGGCAAAAACTTGTAATATGAGGTGACCAAAAAAAAAGAAAAACGGGAATTTTTTAAGTGCGTATTGCCAGACATGAGCAAGTGGCAACACTGCGAGACAGTGACCTTGAGCAAGTAAACATTTCGCCATTTAGAAGTCAAGATGAAATTCAGAGTATCCCAGCTGAGATGTTGCAGCAGTCAATGAGGAATCTCAACAGCAGATTTCAAGAATGCATTCGTACAGGAGGACGCCATCTCCAGGACGTAATCTAAAAAAAAAAAAAAAAAAAAAATGAAAATTCCATCATTGTTTCTTAAATGGCATGTTTTAAGGTTTCAATCACTATGAATAAAATATTTTTCTTCCATCACTCTTGGTTTTATTGGATTGTTAAAAAGTTCCCGTTTTTTTTGGGTCACTCTGTATTAAGTAGCGACCTCAAGATAATTTTTACTTAATATATAATTGTTTTTAATTTTTTTAGCACATTGACCATCACGAATTGAAGAAGCTGGGAAAAATGCCAGTCAAAACATATTTAACCCATCACTGTATGCTTTAGAATATTTACTATAAAAGTGGGCGATGTGATGACGAAAGAAAAGTGGTTGGGAACGTCAGCTATCGATGGTGCTAGTGTTGCAGACAACAAGTGACATTTGAGTTCGCCCTTCGTCTCAGATATTTTGTCTATGAGTGTATTGCCACAAGTATTTGCATCTTTATTTACACTATTTATATTCGGACTATTGTCCTCATCTTTGTTGTTAACGTAATGTTTCGGCCGCTGTGCGCTCTGGTCTTCCTCAGGTGTATATCACTCTGGGTAACCTAGAGGGAATTCTGAACTAAACCCTGTATTTAATCTACGGATTACTGTTCCACTGCTCATGTCTAGGGAATTCGTCTAGTTCTTATTTTTATTTAGTACTGTTCAGTTATTTCTCGGCCCTTCTTTTCACGTAAAGAAGGTACACACTGCTCAATAAAATTACAGCCACAATATTAGCAAACCAAAAAAACAACGTTTTTATCTACTTAACCCATTGTTACGTAGGGGAAATTGCTGTAATGAACTTGGAGCTTTAAGCTCAACTTGTCTACTGATTAGGTTGAAACTGCTGCTGCTGCTGCTGCTGCTCAAGTTTTTATTGCTGATGCAGTTGAATACGAGTGTCATTTGTATTTCTTTCTCTCTCTTTCTTTCTTTCTTTCTTTCTTTCTTTCTTTCTTTCCGAGCGACTCCCATATTGGATTTATTTCTACGCTAGGGCTACTAAGTAGATCCTTATAGTCAAGCATATGTACTGATTCTTTCAATGCTTGTATCTTTTTGTCATCACTTTATATATTTTTTAAATAAACTTCATTTATATTTAGGGTCCCCGAACATTTTAGAGCGTCCACTCCTTTATAGAATACTTGATCACTTACTAACTCCCATTAATTTGTATAAAATTAACAATAAATTTATTGTAAGGCTGCACATTTCTTTGCTTTTTCTCTTTTTATTGTTTTTCGGTAGGATTATTTCATCTTTATATTGTGTTATTTCTTCTTTCATTTCTATTTCTCTTTTTACGCTGAATGTCCTTGTCTGAATAATAATAATAATAAAAATAATAATAATAAATACAACATGGCCAAATAAAATTACAGCAACACTGGGAGGAGAAGTCGTTGCATGGCAAATACCTAAAAATAACGAAAGCAACATATGCGGACCAACAGAAAACACACCAGTGACTGAGGAGCACCGGGTTGAAAGTTGAGACAGAAGGCCTAATTATTGCAGCTCAGGCTCAAAGCCTTGCAATCAGATCCTATGACTGTCACATAATCAAGAATGGAACTAACCCCAAATGCAGGATCTGCGGGAAATATGATGAAACTGTCGACAATATCATCTAAGGATGTCTGGAACTAGCAAAAAATTAATATACTCACAGACATAACAAGGTAGTGACATATGTGCAGTGGAAAATATGCAAGAAGCACAAAATCAAAATCATTCGGAGATAGTAGAAACACCAATCAGACAGTTACCCAAAATAACGATGTAACTATCCTCTGGGAAATGCCAATTCAAACTGACAGGGAAATAAAAGCCAATAGACCTGATATTATTATAAAAACAAGAAACCTAGTGTTGTGGATTCCGTGAATAGAATCCTTCACAAATAAATAAACACCGCCAGTAATTGACATAGAAAAATAAGTGTATTAAACGTAAGAATACAGACTTGAAGTGAAGATTAGTAGTCCAGGAATGCGGGTTAGTAGAAAGTATATGTACAAGTCTCTGTAAGTAAAGCCGTAATCATCTCTCTCTCTCTGGACTCTTGTATAACTCTTTGAGAACACCCTGTTTCTGTCTCCGTATCTCTCGACCTGTCTCAACGTATCTCCACGTATCTCAACGTCAGGTATTCTCTCTGTCAGTATAAGTATAATTTGGACGAGTCCATCTTACGTAAAAAGGGGAGAGCCCCACAACACTTAGGAAGTGTATGCTTATTGACATAGCAGTACTATCTGAGAGAAACACCGCCATGAAAATTATCGTGAAATTGTCCAAATACAAAGACCTGGAGATGGAGATTAACAGGATGTGGGGAATGAAGACTGAGACTGTACCAATAGTAATCGGAGCACTGGGCCTCGTGAGAAAAGGAATGAAAACAATTTTACTAACAGTGTCCTAAGTACCATCAACATATAAGTTGTCCAGAAAATCGCTCTACTATGAACATCCCCTATACTAAGAAAAGTGCTATCAATTAAATAACGATTCTCCTATAGAGCCTAAGGACCATAGTTTGGGCCCGGTTGTACAGGATACAAAGCAGGTAACATAACATAGATAAATACTACTACTACTAATACTACTACTACTACTACTACTACTACAAATAATAATAATAATAATTTACAATGCACGTAGACAGAACAATGAAAGCTAATCGCCCAGATATAGTGATCAAAGGCCGCTAAAACAGAATATGCTTTCTTATTGAGATGGTAATCACTTCCCATTGTAATGTATCTTTGAAGATCTTCAAAAAACTATCAAAATACAAAGATCTCAACTGAAACACGACACGGCACATGAAAACGTCAATTTTTTCCAGTTGTGGTTAGAGTCCTCGGTTTGATTGAAAAATGTTCAGATAAACTTACTGAAGGGATCACTATTGGCTTATGCTTTAAAGAAATGCAAAATAATGTTCTAGCGGTTACAGTTCACACATTACGAAGGGCTTTATCTAAAGCAGCATTGTCCGGCGTTGCCCGTGCTTGATTCAAAAATCGTACGACTCATACACCAATCGCTATCACTTGACTTAAAATATTTTTGCCTTTCTTGAATCTTTAAAGGAGTGCCCTTTCACATCCGTGCTGATGTTGCTACATGCCTTACTTCTTGTCTATCTCACATCTCAGAATTTTTTCTAATTTCTATACTAAACATTAAATCTGTTACGAAAAAAGAACTAAACAAAATGAACACAAAACGATCAGCTATTTAAAAAAAAGACTCGTAATGGAAAAATACGAATGAAAAAAATATAACAACAAATGCTTTTTCACACCCAACCCAGTACTGCGGAATCAGAATCAACGTTGAGTTTAAGCAAGCGAATTATCAATTGGAGTCTGTGCCATTTGCAGATTTAAATTTTTCTCACTTGTGACGAATGACAGCTATCGATTTGTTTTTCATGCTAGCATGCTAGTTAACATTCGTGTCAGTCTATGCTGTTAGCTCTCACGCTGGACAATAGAATATTCCTGCCTATTAAGTTTAAGCCAGCTACAGGCTCTCAATCTGGCCACACAGAAAATGGCTGCAAACTATTTTGAAAAGTGCCGTAGAAGCATGAAATATCGATTATTTCCACTATCGATGGGAGTTAGGAAATGCAAATTCGGTCTTGGCCTTTTCTAATTTGGAGCAAACATATCTATAAATGTTTTGTGTGCAAATGTGTGAAAATTGTGTGTGTGCATTCGTTACACACACATACACACACACACATACATATATATACACACACACACACACACACATCCTGCCTTTTATAGATAGAGATGTGTGATTTGATATATATTTATTTCTAATTTTTTTTTCACAAAAATGTTCAGTGGAAAACGTCATGATGCCATTTCTGGCTTTAAGTATCTTTTTGAGACGCAGAAAGAAATGTGTATATTACATAAGTAAAAGAAAATAAATATAATAATAATAATAATAATAATAATAATAATAATAATGAAAATGATGGACAAGGAGAGCCGAGCTGAATTTCCGGACGATTTTTGAATCAATTTGCATTCACTTTCGCCATAATATGAAAGCACGTGAGATCTGGTTGTAAAAATAAATAAATATAAGTCGTTGTCGACTTACGACATATGCGACTTAGGACTGTTCGACTTTACGACCTCGATCACGAATTGTCAAACAATTCATATAAATCTCAGTGTTCTTGTGAAAAAAAAAGAAAAACAAAACAACAACAAAAAAAACAAACTCTAACGGGTACCCTGAGTCGTACCCCCAAGCTGACGACATCGGCGACCTATAACCAAGAAACTGCGGAGAATAGAGTTTTTGTATTTGCAGGTATTTTGTTATTCTGTTTAAATGTTTTCTGCCTTTTGCACCTATTTTTTTTATGTTTACTAAATATTAAATCTACTGTACTGCAGTATGCAGTGTTTGACTTAAACCTGACAAACGTAAAAATATGGAAGGAAACAATGTGCAAAGAGATGATACAAAGTGTATCAAACGTAAAGAGATCGTAAAAATACTTAAAAAATACTGTCATGATTAAAGAATGAATAAAAAAAGAACGATAGTAAATTTATTAGAGGCCGTCTTACGAACAGATCGATTAAACGTTTTGTTTTTCTTTTCCGTAAAACCAGATCGTATTTTGAGTCGGTGACAACCTGTATTAAGAAGCAGGAAACAAAACAATGTGTACAGATATGATACAAAAGGTATCAAATATAAAGAAGCCGTAAAAAATATAAAAACAATACAATAATGATTAAAGAATAATAAAAACGATAGCAATAATTAAATACAGGCCGACTTACAACAAGATCGATTTGCGACCTGACAATCTTTTATAACTTCGGTTTATATTGGCAAAAGTTTTATAATTAAATAATGAAAAATAAACATTTACATTCAAAAACATTATTCAATCACTTCTTTTCTTTTATTAAACCCCGAAAAAGACTAGAGTTAAATATCAGCGTAGATCAGGCTTTCTAGCCTTGTAAGGCCACCAGTTTGTTACAAGGACAACTTTGAATGTAAAATTTGTGGACTAAGCGACATATCTCTGATTTTTTTTTCAAAAGAAGTTGTAATTTTTTTTTTTTACAATACAGAAAAGGAATTTGTATCCCGTTTTAATAAATAATCTATTAATCCTGAAATGAAAATATATTTAAAAATATGGGACCTTATATATATGATATAATCGAAAAATTTTTTTTTTTAAACGTTTTAAGTTCTTCAGTAGGTGTTCCAAAAAAAAAGAAAAAAAAAGTGGGTCGCTCTCTTTAAAGATGATTCTAGAGAAGAACAGTTAAATGACGTCTATTCTAATAGATGTCGAAGAAGATGTCATTTAAATTTAGTATCTTCAGATGTCTACTTGGTTGGTTTCGGATTACGGATAAGGCGGAGAGGAGGTTGCAAAGGTCGGTGATGGTTTTTGTTAGAACAAAAACAAAAAAAAAAAGAAGTAAAAAGAAAGAAAATAAAGTAAACAGAAGGAGAAAAAATGGATGGAGAGAAAATGGCGGCCATTATATGCAAGCGCCCATCTATTAGAAAAGGAAAGGGACGTAGTCATGTCCCCGGGAAAATTGGCGCTCAAAACATCGGGGAACGGGAGGATTAATGCAAGATAATTGAGGACAGTTGCGCGTACGCCAATGTCTTGAGGAAGTACTTGGAATTTTTTTTTTTCTACATCGCGAATGAAGGTTCTCAGCAATGAATACGCGTGGAGAAAGCCGGCTAATCAAAACTAGATAATATTAGTCTATAAAGAAATAGAGGGTTACCGAGTGAAAAACGAATAAGTAAATGGTCAATCTAATCAAAATTCTGGACGTTATTAATTCTACTTATAGTTTTTTCTTCAATTGAAATGAAAATGATTTTTTTTTTCTTTAATTTTTTTTCCGTCATCTAATCAAAATGATAAATAGTTACTACTGTGGAAATTGGATACAATTGAAATAGTTCAAACTAGTCTAAAAGTTTTTTAATTGTTAATGCTCATCTAATCAAAAATAGATAATACACACACACACACACACAAACACACACACACACATGAAGAGAATGATTCTGTCTAATATATATAATATATATATATATATATATATATATATATATATATATATGGTCTATTCAGAAAAAATGCCAGCAATTTAATAAAATGAGAATTGTCTGCGCGGTCTAATTCTTAACTATGACATCTAACAGAAAGATGATATTCAATCAGCGATAACAAAATGGTTAGGAAAAAAGAACTAATTAGGATGAAAGAAATCCTAGTCCAAAATGAATAATGCTTGACAATCCTTTATCTAATCCAAATTTCAGATAATATTACTACTACTAATACTACTAGTGGAAATAAAGCAATTGAAATGAAGATGAAAGAAATCCTAGTCCAAAATGAATAATGCTTGACAATGCTTCATCTAATGAAAATTGCAGATAATATTACTACTACTAATACTACTAGTGGAAATGAAGCAATTGGAATGAAGATGAAAGAAATCCTAGTCCAAAATGAATAATTCTTGACAATGCTTCATCTAATCAAAATTTCGATAATATTACTACTACTAATACTACTAGTGGAAATAAAGCAATTGAAATGAAGATGAAAGAAATCCTAGTCCAAAATAAATAATCTTGACAATGCTTCATCTAATGAAAATTGCAGATAATATTACTACTACTAATACTACTAGTGGAAATAAAGCAATTGAAATGAAGATGAAAGAAATCCTAGTCCAAAATGAATAATTCTTGACAATGCTTCATCTAATGAAAATTGCAGATAATATTACTACTACTAATACTACTAGTGGAAATGAAGCAATTGAAATGAAGATGAAAGAAATCCTAGTCCAAAATGAATAATGCTTGACAATGCTTCATCTAATGAAAATTGCTAGATAATATTACTACTACTAATACTACTAGTGGAAATAAAGCAATTGAAATGAAGATGAAAGAAATCCTAGTCCAAAATGAATAATGCTTGACAATGTTTCATCTAATGAAAATTGCAGATAATATTACTACTACTAATACTACTTGTCGAAATAAAGCAATTGAAATGAAAATGAAAGAAATCCTAGTCCAAAATGAATAATGCTTGACAATGCTTCATCGAATGAAAATTTCAGATAATATTACTACTACTAATACTACTAGTGGAAATAAAGCAATTGAAATGAAGATGAAAGAAATCCTAATCAAGAATGAATAATGTTTTCCTACGCATTGCTTCCCATAACTTCTCTTAACACCTTCCTTTTTTAGCTTTTTTAGCTTAGTGCTCGTATGACTTTTGTCGGGGATTTAATTGCAGTGGTTGTGACTTACTTCGGCGATGAGACTTCCTTAGTGCACCTTTTGCTGGAGTCCTTTGGCATTACTTGGGTCTTTATTGAGGCAATTGAAAGGTGTCCAGTAGAATGGCCAGCGTTAAGGTAAAGTTTAATTTGTTTATTGGAAGGTTTTATCGTTTTAATCGGTTTGCATGTCGGAACCAGACTGAAGATTGTATATCCACGTCATACGTAACATTTTCAGAGCGACATATAATGCGTCCTTGGATCCATTTTGCGTTAAATGTTGCGGTGATCTTTTGCAATTACAGGTTGTCCTGATAAATATTCACTTTTTACATGATGACGGTTAAATTGTTCTTCCATGTTATTTTTTAGGGAATTGTTTTTAGTTAGGTGGACTTGGGTGCTGTAAAAAATTAAGCTACTCTGAAATTAAAACAAGGTTCTAAGCCATTTTTAAGAGAAAAAAAAAGGACGGTTTCCTATGCTGTAGTGAAAGTTGATTGAAAAATAACTGAAAAATCTTCATCAAAATGGTGTAATAGAGCCTGTAAATTACTACGCGTGGGCAGCTCTTACTCTACTTGTTAAAAAGGCAAATAGAAAAGTCCGGCTATGTGCTGAGTACTCGACCGGTTTGAATGGTTCTATGGATGCATATCAGTAGCCACTTCCAGTGTGTTATACTGGAACATACCTATTCTATTATTAATAAACTCTCCTACCTATAATAAGTAGTAGTAGTAGTAGCAGTCGCCAGGGAGCTCAGTGAGTTGGTGAGTCAGTCGATGTCAGACATTAAAGTATCAACCACCACAACTAGATTGCTGCGTCATTAACTATTATAACAATTTCCTGACGTTTTCTACGTCGAACCTTTTTAGTGAAATACAAGCCTTCAATGTGAAACTACTCTATAACACAGTGCCGGAGGATTTTTTTCACATAACGGCGTTATTTGCTTTTAAAAGGTTGATCTTTCCGATGCTTTTCTTCAACTGGAATTTGATGAGGAGTACAAAGATCTCCTTACTATCAACACCCACAATGGATTATTCAGATTTAACCATCTTAGCTTCGATATCAAACCAGAACAAGCCATTTTCTAACAGACGCCATGCTGACCGAATTGACAGAAGTTGCAAAATTCATCGTTGTTGCAGAAACAAATCAAGATGCAACGTTTAATTTTTATTTTCAGCCGAATCCATTTTAAAGCTAAAAAGTGTGAATTTTTTTGAGATCAAATCAAATATTTTGAGTTTATTTTCGATAAAAATGGTGGAAGACCAAACCCGGAAAATATCTCAGCAATAAAAAAAAAACATGGCGGCACCGACAAATTTAATAAAATTACATTCTTTACTTTGGTTATAGTATTGTTTTATTGCTTAAACTTCATTAAGTTCATGTACAGCTCAACAATCTTTTAAAAATGATGACATAGATGTCATCCATCCAACTGGATACAACAGAAAGGAAGATACAAGAAATCCTCGTACAAAACGAATAATCCTTGAAAATAGTATCAGCACACGTCAAGTGGTCCAAGCAATCGTACATCTAATACTACCACACGGAGGTTACTTCAGTAGCGGCTCCTGTATCTGTAACACCTGCAACCTTGTGAAGGGTCTTTCGTCCTCTGATCACTCACCACGGGAGAACTTTTGCCGATGGTTTATTGCACAAATTGCCGATCCGTTGTTTGTCGCTTCTGTCTTGTTTACGGATGAGGCATCGGTAGAGATCGAATAACACATTTACACAGCCAAAGCTTTTGGGCGGATTGGAATCCCCATGGTGCAATACAAGCTAGACACAAACATCAGTTCACGCTTAATGTGTGATATGGAATTGTAAGTGACTGTCTGGTCAGGATTTTATATCGAACACACTCCCGAACCTGCTAGAGCGTGTATCCAAGCTAATACGAAGACGCTTGATGAGGTTCGTGCATGATGAGGCTACGGCACAATTTAGTCACATTGTTCGCGATGCAATAGTTGACATCGACTATGAAAGATGGATAGGTAGGAGAAGACCTGTTCCATGGCCTGCACGTTCTCCCGACATCAATCCTTTGAAGTTTTATATGTGGGGTCATCTACAACAATTCAGAGACGCTTCATCAACATGTCACGTGGGCCTGCGAAACCATACGGCACCGTGTGGGGGCATTTGAAAGGGTCCAACTGTCAATGATTCGACAGGTGCATGCGTGTTTAGAATGGAGCAGAGGACATCTTGAACATTTGTTACGAGTTGCTGTGTTGAAGTACAATGATGGCTTTTTGGACATATGATTATTTGGATATTTTACCTTGTTTTGGCAACATGGAGCCGCCTCCAATGGTTGCAAAAGTATTTTTGGATGGTATTTTGAATTATATATTTAACCACGTCGACCGTAATTTTTAAATTTAACTCTAAAACGAAGGTTTTGCGGACATATGTTTATATGGATTTTTCCATGTTTTGATGTGAGGGAGCCGCCTCCAAATTTGTAAACTTATTTTTGATAAGCCCTATATATATATATATATATATATATATATATATATATATATCAGTGGATTCAGCAGTTTACAATCTTCTTGTGTGAATCATTTTCAAGAAGCGAGAGCAAAATCTAAAAGGTCATCATATCTAACAGTGATATCATCTCACAATACTCATTCTTGCTCCATATATGGCCTCTTTTGTAAATCACTAACGGGTGCCACTTAAGTTTATCGCACAAAATTTCATAACTGAATCAATTAAGATGTCAGATCTTCATACGTTGAAATCGACGGGTGAGTCCATTATATATATATATATATATATATATATATATATATATATGTGTGTGTGTGTGTGTGTGCGTGCGTGTGTGTGTGTGTGTGTGTATGTGTGTATTGTCGACACGGAAAATACATGGATAGACCTAAATAAATCTTTTACTTTGAACCCATTCTGAACGATTGGATGAGGATTTGCCTTGGATTAATTTCAGAGAAGATTATAAGAATCTCTTGCTTTCGAGCCATTCTTAAAATGAGATGAGGATTTGCCCTTAATTCGATACAAAAAAAATGCTGAGAAAAATATACTAATAACTTTTGACATGAACTAAGATTTATAAAGAAAAGATACAGAATAAATATTAACGGCTTATTTAAAAGTTACTTTTTTTCTTTCTTCTTTAATGACGAGAAAAAATACTCCGATTCCTTTTTTAAGCATACACACAAATATACACACACACATTTTATTCATTCGCTTTGGATCTGATTAAACCTAGTAAGGCGAAAGGCGTAATCAAATCTAGTTTCAATGTTTTTTTTTTTTTAATATTTCAAGTTTTGATATATATATATATATATATATATATATATATATATATATATATATATATATGTAGTAAGGTAATGAAAGGTTTGGTAATCCGTGTGGATAATTCCAAAGAGGATGTAATCCAGAGAGCTCTATGTAACATCAGATCAAATATTAATTAAATAATTAAGAAAGAGACACACTCAAGGTTCCATGACTATAATTTATTTCCCCAGAAAATATATTTTTCTGGCTCAATAGATCACATCTCAAGTTACTTGAGATGTGACCTGATGAACGAGGAAAATATAGTATTTTCTGGGAAAATAAATTATAGTCATGAAAACTTAAAGTTGTCTCTTATATATATATATATATATATATATATATATATGATGAGCTGGGAAGACTATATTTACATATGGCTTTTTAGTGTGATTTCTGTCATCTGGTATGTCTGTGGTCCGGCAGTGACCTCGTCCTAAGGGTGACGGATTCAAGATGACGGACTTTAATACACTGGATATTTCTTTATGGGCAAAAATAGTGGAAAACCTTATAAGACGTTTGTCACATTACCATCTTGGTTTTCAATTAAAACTCAACCTTACGTAATATTACAGTTTATTTAATTTCGGAATGCATCTATCAGCGTCGGCCAATGGGCGTTTTGCTTTGGAGCCTTTTTCGGGCGTGGATTATACATCATCGCAAAGATATGAGAGAGAATCTATTCTTGCATTTGGCGTAGGTGTTTATGCATCGAATTTTTTTTCTCAGAATAGTGCACACACACACCAGGTGCGGTCGGGTCGATCCCATTTTAACTTGTTGGTGTCAGCAATTAACTTACAGTTGTCAGTCAGTCGTTCAAGTTTTGAACCGACTGTTCGGTTAAACTCTCTTCCTACGGGCGGGAGGAACCCGAAGGAGGCTACGCCGAAGGGCGGAGTCTCCTTCGGGGAGGTAAAACCGGCACTGAACCCGTCTATACGGCTTCAAATGGGCTATTTTTTGGCCGAGCCTAATGGCTTGGGAATTGCCCACGTTAAAAAGGCCTTGTGCCACATGACATCCTCGTGGGGGGGGTGACTGAATATCGTCAGCAATTAAATTACTATGTGGTGCAGCTAGGAACGCCATCTTCTAATCACCCCGTTGAAGAACCAACCTTCTCTGATGGTATACTGAGTCTATTCTCGTTTTATAAGTGGTGAGTCACATACTGAGGTACTATTTTTCGATGTCGGGCCGATTAAGTTTTCAACTGTCAGTGTCTGCAAATGGCATCTTATTTGGCGGAAATTTGAACTTGGTTCTGACGCGGCCATCTTCCCGGTCACACCGTTGATGCACCCGTCTTCTCTGATAATATACTGTGTCTATTCTGGCTTTATTAATGGTTAGTTACATACTGCGTTACTATTTTTCCGCTGCCGAGACGATTACGTTTTCGCCTGTCGGTGTCAGAAAATGACATCCGACTTGACGAGGATCGGAACTTGGTTCCAAGGCGGTCATCTTCCATGTCAACACGGCTTCTCTGGTGACATACCGAGTCTGTTCCAATATTATCAGGGTTAAGTCACATTCCATAGTCCTATTTTCCGAGGCCGAGTCGATCACCTTTTCATCTGTCGGTGTCAGCAAATGACATCCTATTTGGCAGGGATCTGAACTTGGTGTCTAGGCGTCTATCCTTCAGGTCAACCCGTCCATGCATCCGGCTTCTCTGGTGACATACAGAGTCTATTCCGGTAATTTCAGGAGTGTGTCACATTCCATAGTCCTATTTTCCGAGGCCGGGTCGATCACCTTTTCACCTGTCGGTGTTAGCAACTGACATCTTATATAACGCACATCTACACTTCTTGCTACCATTTCTTATATATATATATATATATATATATATATATATATATATATATATATATATATATACAGCTGTTTCAGTCTGTATATATTCGCTAAGAGGCACAAATTCTCAATGCAAAATTAGATTGCAGACACTCATTTGCTAATTCTGTAATTCAAAGGGAAATGAAAAGGCGCCATATCCATCCTTTTGTTCACTGTTGTGATAGTCTGGATTTTGACAATCTATCTGAACTTGTAGCTGTCAACTGACCCTATCAAATTTCCAAGACCATGTGTTCCGTTTAAGTTAGGAGATCTTTTTTCTTTTATTTTTAATTGATTGATTAATTCTACGGCTTAGCAACCAATTCTTTACAGTTATTTAAAGCTAGAAAATATTTTTATATTCTAAGACTTTATTGAAGACAAGCATGTTTTAATGATACTACTTCTATTAATTAACCCATAGCAGGAGGAGAAGAGGTGGTTTCATAAATTTTCCAAGGATATTTGAGCATATAACAAACCTAACACGGATTGAAACTCCTCTCTCCTATTAAAAACAACTCGATCAACCAAGCTTACTGCAACTGGTATCCCCAAGCGGTTGCCCATCTAGGTACTAACCAGGCTGAAAGTTGCTTAACTTCGCTGATCGTACGGAAATCTGTTTTTCTAATTGATATGGCCGTAAGCGATACCACCCGCACATTCAAGCTTGAAGCATCTGGTATTCCCAGGGAGTCAACAATCTCGATACTTACCAGGCTAGAAGTTGCTTAACTTCAGTGATCATAAGGACACCATTATTTCTATTTGATATGGCCGTAAGCTATAACGCCCGCATATCCAAGCTTGCAGCATGTGGTATTCACAAGCAGTTACCCATCTATGTACTAACCAGGCTTGACGTTGCTTAACTTCAGTGACCGTACGTGAACCGGTTTTTCAATGTAAATTGGTCGTAATTTTCTATTAATAAATAGGCTGTTTTTTTTAAAATATTTTAAATGAAATAAAAAGTTCATTATTTACATTATTCGGACTATTTTCCTCATCTTTGTCGCCATATTTATTACAACGTTTCGGCCGTTGTACGCTCCGGCCTTCTTCAGGTGGTTGGAATGTCGAAACGAACCCTTTATTTCGCTCACTGGAGTAGACTGTTCTAGTTCTACGTGCCAGTTTAATGGATGTCAGTTATCACCTATTAATTTCCCTCAGAAAGTTCTCCACTGCCTTAATCGGATATTGAACTCACACTCTTTGGGTTCTGTCACTAGATCTAATTGACGCCTTTTTCCACTGTGCCATGTGTCCTTGAGAAATGTAGACAGAAATAAAAATGTTTATATCAACATACTGACATAAATTTAAATTTTTCGAAGCTTGGAAAAATTAAATTTCTAAATTACGAAAAAGTGGAATCATTTCGCAAAAACATGGAGTTAATTTTCGTTATCAACTCAAAGAATCGCACTAGAAAACTGCAGTCTTGTTTGTGTAGGAAAATCATTGTTGGACAGTGTTATATCGATTCTCATTGGAAAGAATTGGTTGTACTAACAAAACTTTAACACGTGCCGACTAATGAATAACATGAGATTTGAATTTTTCATATCTAGCAGTACAATTCATTCACACCAGTTACTCCATTTTGTTTTTCTGTCTTTCTTTCTTTTGTTTATTTGCCTGTCTTTTGTTTTTGTTGTCTTATTTGTCATTTTTTTTATATTTTCTTGATTAGTTTCTTTTGTGTTTTCTTTATTTCTTTCTTTTGTTTTTCTTTATTTTTGTTTTGCTTTCTTTCATTTGTTCTTTCTTAAATGTTTATATTTTCTTTGTTATTTTATTTTATTTTTATTTGCTTCTTCTTTTTGCTTGACTTTTTCATTTTGTTTTTCTTTGCTTTCGTTTCTTCTTTATATCTGTCTTTCTTTTGATTGCATCGTTTATTTTCTTTCATTCTTTCATGTGTTCTTTCGTTCTTTTATATTGTCTTTGTTTCTTTCTTTTGTTTTTTTTTTCTTTCATTTTTTCTTTGTTTCATTTTGTTTTACGCTTTTTGTTTCTGTTGTTTTTGGGTGTTTCTTTTGTTTTCTTTCTTTATTTGTATTTTTTTCTTTCTTTTGTATTTTATTTTCTTATTTCTTTTGTTTTTCTTTCTTTAATTTGGTTTCGCCTTTTTCTCTTTTTCTTTGTGATTTTCTTTTCTTTGTTTTTTTCTTTTTCTTTCTGTTGTTTTTCTTTCTTTTCTTTTCTTTTTCTCTCTTTCTTTTGCTTGTATCTTTTCTTTTCTTTCTTTCTTTCATTTGTTCTTTCGTTCTTTTATATTCTGTTTGTTACTTTATTTTGTATTTTCTTCACTACTTTCCCTTGTTTTCTTTCTTTCATTTATTTTTTCTTTTTCTGTTTCCTTTGTTTATATTTTCCTTCCTTCTTTCTTTTGTTTCACTTTCTTTCATTTTTTCTTTCTCTCTTTCTTTCTTTGTTTTGTTTTGTTTTTGGTTGTCTCTTGTTTTTATTATTTGTTTTTCTTTTTTTTCTATTTTATTTTCTTCTTTCTTTTGCCTTGCTTTCTTTCTTTTTGCCTCTCTTTTTTTCTCTTTTTCTTTTTTTTGTGATTTTCTTTCTTTTGTTTTTTCTTTTTCTTTATGTTCTTTTTCTTTTTTTCGTTTTCTTTTTCTCTCTTTCTTTTGCTTGTATCTTTTATTTTCTTTCTATCTTTCATTTGTTCTTTCGTTCTTTTATATAGACATTGTTAATTTCTTTTGTATTTTCTTCACTTCTTTCCTTTGTTTTCTTTCTTTCATTTGTTTTTATTTCTTTCTCTATTTAATTTTCTTTCTTTCTTAATATTTTTCTTTCCTTCTTTCTTTTGATTCGCTTTGTTTCATTTTGTCTTTCTCTCTTTCTTTCTTTCGTTTTTGATTGTCGTTTGTTTTCATTATTTGTTTTTCTTTCTTTTATATTTTATTTTCTTCTTTCTTTCATTTTGCTTTCTTTGTTGTTGTTTTTCTTTCTTTCTCTTTTTTATTTCTTTTTGATTTTCTTTCTTTTGTTTTTCTTTTGTTTTCGTTTTTCTTTCTTTCTCAAATTTTATTTGTGTTTCCTTCTTTTCTTTTCCTTCTTTGTTGCAGGAATAAAAAATTTCGCATTGTTGAACGTTCAGAAATTGCGGATGATTTCACTTTGTCAATGTAGGTTAGTATGATGGCGGACAAGCCAGAGGTCTGAAATTTAAGATCAGTTCTCTCACCTTTTAATTAAATATTGCCGAGTCAACATAAAAACGGACCAAAATAAAACAATTTTTTTTTTTACATATACCCGTAGATATTTGTCATTACATCTGTAAACACTCACGCACAAACTCCATATCCTCGTTCAATGTTTAATAATAGTCTTTTCATTTTATGTCAGCAGAAAGCATTAGCTCGTGAAGACACAACGAGTCAACTCTTCTGGAGGTCAGCATCAGCCATATACTCAAGAATAAAATATGGTTTACTGCTAGAAGTTTTGTTTTTCACTCGTGGGTAATGATCTGGCCGAAGAGTAATTTCGATAAGATCAAATTGCCAGCTGATCTCAGAAATAACCTACAATCTGTTGTTAACTGGGACAAGGACTGATTTGTTAATTTTAACACTTCGAAACGAAACTATCTACTATCAATCATCTGAGAGATAACTTTCTTCCTTCCATCAGTATATGGCTGATGCTGACCTACAGAAGAGTGACTCGTTGCCGGATTACAGAAAATGCCGGATTAGTGTAATCACCACTAAAAACCTTATTTAAACATAGTCTTGCCGGCTTATTTTATATATCGGGTGTAACAGTAAAATTGTCCAGATCGTGTAATAGCAAAATAGTTCAGTTGTTAGATTAAGCTTTGAACTGGTGTATCTTAGATAAAATTAAAGATATCTTACTGTAATTCTTCGAGGTTTTTATAACACTACATTGAGCAATAAGAATTTATAATTACTATCTGGGTTTAACAGAAGAATAGTGATGAAATCGGTCAGTTTAAAAAATGAACATAGTTCGTCATTAATTCCTAACAGCTAAGGATTGGAAGCTAATGAAGGAAATAAATAAAAAAATAAATATATATATATATATATATATATATGTGTAATTTGTGTGTGTGTGTAAATGTTATTCTAGGATCATTTTCCAACTGATCTTCGCCCTTTCTAACCTTCTAACTTTCTGTCCTAGAATAACAGGTTGCCTCACACGCTTCAATTCACTTACGATTTCATTTTTTCGCCACTCTTCGACTGTCATAGCTTAAACTCCTCTCTCACGTGCCAAAAGTCCTATGAACTGAGTTGGATCATTTCTAATTGATCTCTTTACTTCTAAGTGTAAATGATGATCCCTATTCTTGTTTCGAGCTCCTGATCCAGTTTTCCTCTCTACTGTCACCTCTTTTTAAAATCTATTCACGGTTCTCTTTGACTTTGAAGATGGAAGCCAGATTAGGAATGTTATTACCATTACCGAAGGCCTGGATGATCTTTTTCCTCTCACCATTGCTCAATCGGGAAGATAGTGTCTCTTATACCAAACGATTTTAACCTGATCCATTTTTACCTGAATAACTCAATGTTTTTTTTCAGTGGTTCTCACGAAAAATAGTGGCAAGATGGCTAAACGTCTTGTCTGAACACCTGGAAAAAAGAAACACAATTAGCTTGGTGCTTTTTTAGATATTAGACATTTTGTGAGATGGATTGGGCAATTCTGTTGTTACATCGGTTATATATATATATATATATATATATATATATATATATGAAGAAATATAGTTATAAGATGTGCTATATTTATGGGTTAAAGTGCTCAATATCTGAGATAGAGCGTATGTAAATATAAAAGTGGACATTGAAGTCAACTCTCAGAGGCGATAGGCTGTTTCATGTTAGACGCAATCGTCAGGCCACCTGATATATATATATATATAGAAACAGTTGCAAATTAAAAAAAATAATAATGTACTTTTATGAAAGTATTTATTTATTTGTATATATATTTGATATTTCAGATTGGCCTCAATCTTTCTTCAGAAATAACTCTCTCTCTCTCTCTCTCTCTATATATATATATATATATATATATATATATATATATGTAAGAGAGTTTGTTGTTAGAACAACATATATATATTTATATATGTTTACATGTATCAAATATAAGCTTAATTTTTTGCAGTGTTTTCGCCTCTTTGAACTGTGTTGTTGTTGTCAGCAGATTGGCATCAGTCAATGACTAATTGCAGGACAAACATCGATTTCAGTAACTGAAATTCTGGGAAGTAATGAAGCCTAAGTAGATTATTGACACTTTTATGATTCTAGATACAGACAAAGGTCGCACAAAATTGTGTCAAATTAAATCACAGAGAAGGACAATTACAATATCAATCTATCTATCTATCTATCTATCTATCTATCTATCTGTTTATATATATATATATATATATATAGCTCGCTGTCTGTTTATTCATCTCTCTCTCTCTCTCTATATATATATATTATATATATATATATATATATATATATATATATATATATATATATATATATATATATATATATATATCAGTTTTCTCTCTATCTATCTATATTTTCATTTATATCTTTTATCTGTTTATTCATTTTTCTCTCTCTCTCTCTCTCTCGAACAAACGAAATATATATATATATATATATATATATATATATATATATATATATATATATATCAGTCCGTTCTATCTATCTATCTATCTGTTGTAGAGTACGAATGTTTTCTTCCTCCGTATGAATCCAAACACGTTCAAACCAAGTGTTGTATATTAAAAACGATTTTTTTTTTTCCGTATGAGTTCGAATCTTTAAAAATAAAGTGTTGTATGGCGAACGAAAATTTTTCTTCCTCCGTACGAGTTTCGAATCGTC